GGGAACAAATCAGATGCACGCCACTGGTTTTCAAGTTGCGTGCAAATGAAAGTCATCTCTTACAGGACCAACATAGCAGATAGTGACTGCACAGCTTCCCAACAGCAGCGTAAACAATGCATCTTACTGTTCCTCCGAAGGGGCAAAAACAGATGGCTCAAGGCTCCCGTGTGAGGAGTCAGTCCACTGAGTGTAATACTAGATCTGCTCATGAAATGTTAAACAAATACACAAGAGGTGATCCGACACTTTGAGGGGTAGTTTAATTAAGACCCATTCACATTAAGATGCCTGATGTCCCTTTTACTGCGTGTGTGTTTGGCCCTGATAACAAGCAAACAAACAGTTGTCTATGCAGACATTGTAATGAAGGAAGTCAAATATTATCTGAAAAAATGTAAAAGGATCATGCTGGTAACCGACAGATTAACAGGCGAAGGGCACACATTAGTAATCTCCTTCTAATTGAGTTCATAAATCCCAAAAGACTCACTTTGATTATAAAGTCTAAAAATATCTTGGGAAAAAAAGGAGCAGCGAATCAGAGTAAAGAAGAGAAGTCTTGAGAAACCTAGTTACATATTTAAATTCTTCTTTATAATAGCCCAAATAATGTCTTTGAAAACTTAACCTGTACATCAAAACGCATTAGACACACACAGATGGCTTGTGAACCAATACATAAATTATTCAGTAAATCAATCATTTCCGCTGTTCATCAGTGACCTCTTATTTTCAATCTTTTTCAATATTATTTCAAATGTGATTTGAGGAGTAGAACTCTTCAGTTGTGTGAAGCTGACCGTTGAGCGGCCCGACCAAGCACGGAGGCAGAGGCAGAACGTCCAAAATACAACCCCGGTGTGGGCATTTATTACTCACGGGCACATGACACAGCCTCAATCTCGCTGTTCACGTGAGCACAGTCACCAGCCACAAGGATCTCACACACTACCTGTCCACTGACAGGGAAAACAGAGCCTAAATACACACACACTAATCAGGCCAATAAGACACAGGTGGGGGGGGAGGAGAGAACACAGGGCACCAGGTGAACACAATCACCAGCCACAGACAAAACGGGAGGGGGAACACTTTTCAAACTAAACCACATATTACAAGGCCCGTATTACTCCACAGTGACGAAGTTACCTTCGTTTACAAGTTGCCTAAACAGAACACAACTTGTACCGCTAAAAGACAACACTCCAATGACATTGATCAATGTCATCTTATTTCCCCCATGAGTGACAGGGGGAGATAGCAGGCAATTTCCGAACACTACCTGCTTGTCCGGTCAACATTATCTTAACGGAAGGGGACTAATCTGTTTCTGAATGAGACATCACTTTGACAGAAAGACAATCTGTAAGAGCCGCAGAAGAAGCTCGGCATTTTATCACAAACAAAATCACACTGATAAGGAAAGAGGAACGGATTAAAATGTTCTATGATAAAATACACTCTAAGTATATCTTTAGGGGAAATTTGTTTTTGATGATTTTACAACCTAGCCATATCTTTAAAAACTTTGTTTACCTTGTCAGTAAATGAATAACATCTTTCTCCGGGGAGCTTTAATGCTATAAATAGACAAAAGCCAGCAGTGGATATAAAAAATGTTCTATTTTGGTCTTGAGCATTGTGCTACATTTGTGTGAATCAACAAGAGGTCATTTATGCAGACAGTATTTTTAACCGGATCTTAGATATGGCAGAAATGAATCATGGACATGCATTTGTATGGTGCACTGCACATACACAAACACACAAAGTAATGATTCGTTTGGAGTCTGCCTTTAAAAAAGGTAACTAGCCTCCTGATGTGCCGGGAGCAAATGTGTAAGATCATAAGATAAAAGCAAAAGCAACAGTGGCACCAGAAATAGAACATCAGCCCTGGCAACAAAAGCAGTCCAACAAAGTGACCAAGAGAAAAGACTTACACAAAACAATGTAAGGTGCTTCACAGATCAAGCAGTGTAGCTGTGTTAAAAAGGAAAATGAATGTGTCTCACTAAAAAGCTGACAAATGACTCTCACAATTCAATGTACTACCACATCAGACAAGAAAAGCAGCATTTTCTTACTACCGAGAAGCGAAAACAGTAGTGTTTGGCATTTTTGCATGAAAAAAATCATTTAAGAAATATCAAAAACAGACCAATTAACAACTCTGCCGATCAATGAAGTCACAAGTCACTTCAGCATGGCTCTCTTTTTTAAGTATTGGCTATACATTGCACAGTGATATCACCAGATGATGAAACATGAAAAACCTTGCATATCTGAAAGCCTATACCACACAGTTTGGGCTCAAATGTCCCAAATGAAATGGAATGTCAACAAGTGAGATATAAATGTGAGAGTTGTTTCCTCTTAGATGAGGGTCACGTGCCTGTGGAGAGCAGAGGGAGAATCAATGCTAGGTCTAGTGCAAAATGTATTCAGACAGCCAGAGATGGCAGATGGGGACTGGAACCCTTTCTCCTCCACAGGCATGAACAGAGGAGGGGTCTGTCTCCAGGCAAACATAGAAGACGTCATGTCTCCGCCTCACTGCCGTACCATTAGTGGATCTCGCTATTGATCCCCGGTGTGTAAATTGCTGAGCAATCTAGACTGAAGGATGAAGACGAGAGCATGGCATGTTTTGTCAGCAGGACGGAGAAATCACTTGTACATGCAGTGAAGACAGTTGCAGCAATAAGGGATAGTGTTTGTGTGTTTCTGCAAATAAATGTTGAAGGCTGTCTCATCAGGATATTCTCTCCTAGTGCATTCAATTTAACAATGAAGCAAGTCTGCAGTTATATTCTTCCCAGCGTGACCAACACTGCATTCAGTGACAGAACACACAGCACATAACAAACTCGCCCTGCTGCCTGCAAATGCCAACGCTACCAATCAGTTAAAGAGTCTTTTCAAAAGATCTATCCTGCTTTGACTCTCTGCCCAATAATTTGTCACCCAGGGCTCAAAGGACATCTGGAAAACAAATCTAATCTCCTAAAACAACTTTAAAATTGGTTAATCTTAAATGGCAAACATCCAAATGTCTACTTTGTGCACCAAGCAGCTTGTAGAAGGACTTATTTGGGAAATGGAAAAATCCTTGTCTTGCTGATTATTTTAACAGAATGCATTTGACGTACTTGCAGTAAACATTCATACACCGGATATGTTAAAGCAGTGTGTGTCCTAATGTTCATAAATGACATGCTGACTGAGGTGAAGTAGAAATAGGGATGTTGAAGACAGCTCTATCTTCTGCCTCAGGTGAAGTTAGCCTGTCTACCCAATACATGACAGATGTGTGCAACTGAAGCTTATAACCAAAGGACAAGTAAGTGTACGGCTATGTTGAGTCATTTGACTGTGACACTAATGGGGGCTGAGGCTGTAGCCTTGAAATGCATCACAGAACAGCCACATCCTGCAGGGAGCTGTGTTATGTAAAGTTTGTCATGCAGACTCCTCAAGCCACTTGGGCAGCCACAATGCTGGCTGGGAACAGCTTAATACAAAATTCAAAACTCCACATTCAAACATCATTCGTAGTGGGGAAAGTGGTATACATGTGAGATGATGCCCTGCATGCAGTTGGTTAGCCTACTTCTGAGCAGAGTAAATGTGCTCACCTAGCATGAAGGAGAGGGACTGTCCTCAGGGTACAGGACAGCACAGGATGCATTAGCAGCCTTCGAGCTTACAAGATTCATAAAGTGCTCCATCTGACAGGCAGCAAAGGAATTCCTCTGACATGTTGTGCCAATATTATGACTCTGATTCAATCAGGACAAACACACAATAGAAGAATCTGAAGAATGGCATGGTATGGAAAAATAAGGCAAAATACAAATGTTACTCGCAGATATTTATATGGACAGCTGCAGCAGCAGAAAGGGGTCAAGCAGGTATCGATAAATCATCTGAGAGTGTACACATGTTTATACTACGATAAAAGCCCACATTGTACAGGAACATTATTGTATGGTAATCTTATACCAATAACCCCAAAAACCAGGCACCGATTAAGCTACTTCTGCCCATCACAAAAGCAAAACAACTCTAGTACTGTGATCAGCAAACAACAAGCCCCTGACATGTCATGATTCTCTTCTCGAATGCTGACATTTATTACATTACATTAAACACATGCTTTGCAAGCTCATTAGACCACTGAGAAGTTGTGGTGACTTAAATCTGACTCTGCTGTCTACTGCAGGGAGCTGTGCCAAACCCATAACCACACTTGCATGTTAATATCAACACATTAATAATTATGCGGTTATAGGAAAACACATTTAGCTGCAGATAGACTTCCCAATGGGAGTTATTCATGGTCAATATGCAACTATTCATTTATGAGATCACAAGTAAAACAACAAACAATTACCCCCTACATAGATGCCAAAGTAATATCCTAAAACTTGAAAAACCATCTGCAATCTTTGTGATTCTATGAATATGTGCATGATTGAGTCATCCTTTTTCACCTTGTCATTATTGAGTTCACTTGTAAAAAATCTTCCTTCATATTTGAATACATAATTAAGACCCCCTTTCGAAACATGGGACTTATGGAAGTCTTTACTTTAGCAACATGTAGTATAAACAGTTTCTCTCCACTGAAGCCTACAGTCTGGTGAGTCAGGACGCGCCCATGACACCTGACGACCTGACTAACCCTGCGACGGGCCATTATTAAACACTACGGCTCAATCTTCCAGTGATTATGACACAGCCGAACCATATGCCTCAATCGACCGCGACACTTAGACCAAGACATGCGTTTTAGTTCCGCCCAGATGAAAGTGTCTACAGTAGGCTGCTTCCTAATCTTTTGGCTGTAAAATGCAGGCGGCAGTTTCAATCATCGGTATGTGCGACGCTGATAGGGCTCTGGCCTCTGGCGTGGTCAAATAAAACGCTGCATTTAACACTCAGACTTATTGCATGAAAGGAGATGTTTGCTGCAATATATCCATACATCTTACCCGTGAATCGACTATCTTTTGGGAGGGAAGTCGTGGGATGTGCAGCAGATCTGACACAGCATCATCCCCACCACGCCACGATATGTCAGATTTTGCACACACATTATTCCTTTGCATCTGTCAAGAAGACACCAAAAATATAAAACGCAGTTCCCTGCATTGCGGAGGGCTGCACAAGCTCCTCCATCCCCTCCGTGCATCCCACTCAGTCTGTTGTAAACAACACTGATTTCCCAGAGCTGTCAAAATGCAGCGCCCGGCTTCTCTGATAATAATGTCAAAGACTCGGTTTTGACTGTATCTGCCCGGTTTCCTTACCTTCTGTAGAGGGCAAATGCGTCCGTCCGTGTGTCCTTCACGATGCTCACACCTGCTCAGCACCGCATCGCTGGGCGCTCAAGAGCCGGGAAGAAAGTGACGGAGCAGCGGTCCTGTCCCCGGGATTGGATGAAGGGTTATGGCTGTCAACTGAGGGGGCGCTAGACCCTCTTGTTCTGCAGGCACAGGCTGCCACCGTGTTTTCCTCCTCTGCTCCATCATTGGAGGATGACCTGATAAACATTTAAGTGTAGCTATCTTATAAAACATTGAATATCTTTAAATCTACACGCATTGCATTAAATGACACGACTTGCCCCAGTGTACGACCTTGTCTGGCTTCTAAAGTGACATTTATGAGTTGTGTTTAGTCCTTCACAGATTTGTATTACATTTCGTTATTGAAATATGAACATGTTAAAGGTGGGGTAGATAATTCACTTCAGAAACACTTTTTGTTATATTCCATCGAATGCTCTTAACATCATGAATACATTAAATGCTTTGACAATAAATACATTAAAAAAGTTCATCTGTGAAAGCCGTGGCGCTGTAAAAAGCACGACCAATTATTTTAGCCGGCCCGGCTAAAATAACTGGATGGCCTACCTGCCTGTCAGCCTTCCATCTCGTGCACAAACTTATCTCGTGCCCTCATTGGTCATGTGCACGTTCGTGTGTGTTGGAGGAGGGGCTCTGTAAGGAAGTGGCAGATTTTTTCGGCTGCCGACTTTCAAATTCTAGCGCACTCGAGCTGGTTTCTACATTCTTACCTACCCTACCTTTAAGTTTTGTTTTCATATAGGACATTTTCAGACACAAAGGCAAAGTGCTTTTCATAGGCAATAACATATAATAATAATAATAATAAACAATAACAAAAAAGGCAGGTTAATTAATAAACGCAAACTTTTATTTTTGACAATATTTTAATAGTACAGAAAAGTCTAAATGTTCATCTGTAATATTTGTAATCAGGACTCACTCTCCCCACTGTCAAAATCATGAACAGAGTTGACTATTTTGTTTATAAGCAGCCAGAAATGTATTTTATTCATATGCAAGGTCCTTGTTATTTCTAATTTCATTAAATAAGTGAATGGTTGTGAAATAATATCCATACAATTCTACAGTTGATAGCAATAGCTAGTTTCCAATATAACGTTAACCTATAAAGTTGCTAATATTAGCAAGTGTGCTAGCTAGCATATCCTAAATGCAAGTAAGCTCTCGTAAATGTTAGCTAGGCGTAACGTTAAATGTTAGCTACCTATCGTAAATATACAGAAGATGTTTAGTTTTTTTTTGTTCTGAGAAAAAAGTCAGAATTCTGACTTTAATCTCAGAATTCTGACTTTAATCTCAGAGCTAAAACAAAAATATCTTTTTGGAGAAAAAAGTCAGAATTCTGAGATTAAAGTCAGAATTCGTTGATGTCAATTTAAATAGTTTTCAATGAACAGAGGAATTAGGCTAACAGTTTGACTTACTCGATCTTTCTGCCACTCTTGCGGGCAGAAACACAAGCTACGTATCCCAAGTAAAAGTTAGCAAAGTTAGCCCACCTTGGAATCGACACTTGCAAGTAGCATCCATCTGAAGTCGACTTTCAGCTATCAGACGAATTGAGGTCCAATATCCACTCTTCCTTATCTCTTTTGGTCTCCTCTTTTGATAAGAACTTTTTACTGTGTTCACTTCGATGATCTAACTGACTTTGTCTGCCGTTTGGTTTATATAGCCTATAGGCAGGGATGATTCAGTTTATCAAAGCATTGGTGCTGCTAATGGAAGTTGATAATAAGAGCTTCTGAAACTCAATCGTACTTAATATGTCATAAAAAGCTCTTTCGAGATGTAATGTGTTTACTCAACGTTTGTTTTGTTCAGGCAAAGGCAGAGTGTGTTGTATTTCCATAATGATATTGAAGTTATAACAAAGTGCCAAAAAATCATTATGGTCCGGAATTTAATTGATGCATCAATTATTGGATTTAATATGTATTGGTTTTAATGCATCTTGTCCTGACTTCAGTTGCCAGGTTTTTCATACCTCTGTAGTCCTTCCCTGTCATTCCTCACCTGCCCACCTGTCCTCATTGTGTTTCCTGCCCACACACCTGCTTCTGATTAGTCATCAGCCCCATTTACTCCCCATGAAGTTATAATCTTTCCCCAAATTGTTTGCCTCAGCCCTTTTTGTTGCATGTATGATCTCTATTTTGTTGGTCTTGTCTGCCAGCTTCACTGCTTTGCCTATCAAACTCTTCCTCAGTGTGCACAGTCAGATTTGTTGTATTAAATATACATTTAAAGGATGTCAAAGATAAGAGTGTTTCTTTTAACCAGCTAGGAAACCATTTAAAAGAACAAAAACTGCTTTAACCATGAAGCATGTGAATTATCCAGGTAAAAACTTTGTTAAACGTATTTTGTATTGCCATTTAGCTGGACAAACTACAATCCATTCCATTGTTTTGTAGGAACATAAAAAGTTTCTGAGAAAACACATTCTCAACACATGACCAGATAAATCTATTTGCATGACAAGACACCAGCAGGGGTAGATGGAGCGGTGAGTGAGACTGCAGTCTGCATGTTAACCGTCGGCCTGATTTTCATCAGACAGATATCAAAAGGGCGCCTCTCCTAATTACAAAGCCATGCTGGTGTGTCAGTCCAAACATGAGACCATCTCAATCCCCAGGGATTAGATTTAAATCTCAGATGTAAACACCACACAGCAAATAATAATCTGCTGTCGCGGCGGCCCATAAATAATGCAGGAATCTTTGAAATAGAGCAGGGTAGAATTAATTGAAGGACTTAACCCCCTTGGATGAACTTGCGCTAACATATCAAAGAAGTTATTTTATTGTGAGATCAGAAACTGACTTTACATGAAGGTTATAGCCTTATTGCAAGTTGAGTTTTAGTGCTTTGTTCCCGAAGGCTGTTGTTATGTTTCCGTTTACTAGTCATAAAAAGTATTGTTGCCTTTGAGATGGGAACTGCTGTTAATACACAATGAAAAAAAAGACATTGTCAATATCTGCAGCCCAGGGGAATATAACAATATGTCAATCCACAGAAAATAGCCAAACCAGATGGATTCAGTAACATTGAGGAAATGCATGATATCTAAATAGAGCGGCATAATACAAGACCCAAAATAATATTATTTTGTGTGCAGGTTATCCAAGATCTAGGTGTATTCAAGCCTCAGACAAACACTTTTGTTCCTCTTACATCATGGCAGTGCAAATAGAGAAGGATCCTGCTGCTGAATAACACTGTTACATGGCCGGTCTCTGGGGTGGATAAGAGGAACAGCAAACACCCTGCTATCTGCAGGGAAGAATAGGGGGCTGTCATCTATCTGCCTGGCAGAGGAGGAGGAGGAGGAGGAGCAAGGAAGAGGTGGGAGGGGTAAATATGATTTAGCCCCAATGATCTCCACAGGGGGCTCATCCATAGGTAACCCCCCACCCACTCAGACAAAATACACAGGGGACATGCAGGGAGGTGCATGGGGAATAAGAATCAGGGCTCGGAAAGAGATATAATCCTGGCTGTCGTGATAAAAAAGTGGGAAGGGAGTTTGATAGAGAGTATCAGATTGATAGAACAAAGCACTCTCACTTTATGTAGCATCCGTCCAACAGGAGTTCAATGATATCTGCCACCAGATCAGCTCACCCCCTTCCCCCCGACAGGGAAAACAGCCTCTTTGAGTTGATAGAAACACCAGGGAAGAAATAAGATTGCTACGCAGGAAAGGGTGATTTCAGTCGTACAATTTGGATTCAATTTCAGGCAGACCAAACCTTCCATTCAGGCTCCAAAAAGCTTGGTCTTGACAGATGTGTGTGTATTTGTGTGTGTGTTTTGGCAGACCGTTTGTCAGCCATATGGAAATGTCACATAATCATAAACAATTATCCTCCCCCAGTGCTCGGAGCATCAGAAAAGGGCAAATCTACATAAACACACAAAGGCTCTGCCACTTACATCTAAGGAACTCCCTGAAGCTAATCACATACTTGAAAATATCAGAAACTAAATGATTTTTCTAGTACCTGCCTTTGATGACCTTTATTCTACATTATGTCTCAAAAGGAAGGTTGATGCTGGAAGTTCATGCCCTTCACTTGAGCATCTGGGATGCAAATGATGTGCTTTAAATCCCCCAGGTTCGTTGGAAAAAGAGCATCTGATCATGCAACGATTTTTTCTCCTATTCAAAGCAGACTGAAGGTGGACATTAAACCAGCGCTAGATCAATTCTAACCAGGCTTTCCGCCCTGCCGTAAATCAAGGAGCTGGACACAGTTAAGGTGGGAATGGATAATGGATGCCATGGCAGACACATGGCTGACACGAAATGAATCCACAGAGGATTGGATGAGGGATGAGAGGGTGGAGGGAGGGGTTGTTGCAACGCTAGAGGAAGGACGGTGGGTGGAGTTGAGCAGGGTAATGGGGCAGCTGCTTGTTTGGCCACAATGATCACCAATTGACAGACAAATAATGGGATTCTGTTGCCATGAAAGTAAAGAGCTAATCCTCTTACAGGAATCCTTTGTAATTGAGGATCAGGGATGTCAACAGAGGGCCGACTAATTCATAGACTGTCAGTTAACATGTGAGGTTATTCAGTATATTATAGTTTGAATACAATATTTTATAGCATGAACTTTGGCTTCTATGTGAGATATTTGTATTGCTGTCTATGACAAACAACACATTTATTGACAGATAAAATCATGTATGACACTTCCTTTTAAGTGTTTAAAAGCCTGTTGCTCTTTC